CAGCTCCTCCGCGTCCACCGGCGCGGAGAGGCCGTCTGGGGGGCCGTGAGCCCGGGCAGGCCTAAAGCAAAAGGCTTCGTGTTTCGTGTCTGGCTAAGCATAGAGGCTTCCATTCGCTTAGGATGAGCCCCGTGCCCCACTTGATTTTTGGAAGCAAAGGTGCTTTAAACAATATAAAGCAACAAGAGCTAGCAAAGCGGGGGGGTGGGGGGTGGCCTGGGGACTTAGCTCAGCGGCACAGCGCCTGCCTGGCAAGCACGATGTCGTGAGTTCGATTCCCGGTTCCAGAAAAAAAAACAAAGAGCTAGCAAAGGGTTCGTCTGTGACCTGAACAGCCGGATCGAGGGCCTGGCCACATCGGAGGGGAGAGTGTTCCCCGGATTCTCTGCCCTGCCCGCGTAACTCCTCGTCCCTGGGAACCCCCCGGGCGCCTGCAGCCTTGGGGTACCCGGCGGCCCGGTTTTTGCCCTGTGCTGCCCTTCTGCAGGATCTTTGACCTCGTGTGACGTTGCTGTGGCCAAGTGGTCGGCTCAGGGATGCCTTGTCCCCTGGAGTCAAGCCGGCCTCCAGGCCCTGACGTGAGGCTGGCCCAGAGGGGTGAGCGAGGGCAGGCGTCTCCGGAAAGGAAGGGAAAGAAACACGGGCTGGGGCTGACTGAGCTTTTCACACGGTGATCCCACTTGGTTCCCCAAGGGTGCTGTGAGCTGGCTGGAATCACGCTCTCGCTGTGGAGATGAAACCAGTTCGGCAGGTTTACACAGCTCGCCTCACAGCCCACAGCAAGGGTGTGGTGGAGCCCTGTGCTCTTGGAGACTGTGCTCAAGTCTGTTGTAGGTCTCTCGAAAGAGAGGAAGCACCTGTCACGTCTGTAGGCTCAGAGATGCTCAGGACCATCCTAGAGGGGATGAAGGAGTGCTTCTCACTCAGCATCTTCCCTCCGCGTGCTCTCTTGGCCGCTCCCGCCTTGTGTATCAGGACAGCAACAACCGTGATAGGTAGAGCGTTTAAAAGTAGAAGCCCTTGGCCATGCATGCTGGCGCAGGCCTGTAATCCGAACACTAGGGAGGCTGAGGCAAGAGGATCACTGTGAGTTTGAGGTCAGCCTCGGCTACATAGTGGTTTAAAGTCCAGCCTGAGCTACACCATGAAAGCTTGTATTAAAAAAAAAAAAAAGAAAAGAAAAGAGAAGGCCTTAAAGACGGGAAAAGCTACCCCTGCCCTTTGCCTTGGTCATGGATGGGTTAATGAAAGGACTCCCTAGAGTCACACTTGGACCTTTTTTTAGCACCATCTGGCAAGAGTCACCTCTCCTGCACCTGCTGCTTCTACAGACCATTGCCTATTTGCCAGTCAGCAGCGCAAAAGACAGAGTTATGGTGTTTGTATAATTCGGATTCACCACACCCCTCAGGGCCACTGTGTTCTCTTCGTGAGGTCGTGAGGATAGCAGCCCACACCGTGGAGTTGTGTGTGGAAGCACAGGAGACAAGAGAAAGGCGACAGAGGCAGACACCCCCCCGCCCAACACCCTTATTCTAATCTTGAACTTGGCCACAGTGTGGGATAGAGAAATTCCCAGGACAAGGCAGATAAATGAAGGTTAGGTATTTCGGAGACTCCAACCAGTGTCTACCGTTGGCCTTACTGAACTCACATGCAGGAAAATTATAGTATGTGCACAAGGCAGAAAGCGCTACGTTCTAGGTGGGAGACAAGTTCATCAGGCTCCGTGGCTTCCCAAGGCAAGACTGCAGTGGGAGGTTGAGGGGCAGTGCCACTGGAAGGAGTAGGACTTGCAGTGTGGACGTCAGCTCAGTAGCTGGAGAAAGTGGACAGGGGGACTACCCGCTGCCACTGTGATGAAGTTCACTTCTGGAATTGATGTGAAGTACACGGTCATTGATCCCTTAGCTGTTAAGCCAATGGGAAGACATGGCTGTAATTGGAGAGGGAAGTGGTAGGCCCCGAAGAAAAAGAAGAGAAAACCAACTATTCAACAGTTTGCCGCGCAGGGTGGCGCGGGCCTGTAATCCCAGCACTCGGGAGGCTGAGGCAGGAGGATCGCTGTGAGTTCGAGGCCAGCCTGGGCTACAAAGTGAGCTCAAGGCCAGCCTGAACTGCAT